CTTCTTTTATATCATTTAATAGTTTTATGATTTCTCTTTAAATATCTTGCTTGCCTTTAATTATATTTATTCCTGGATATGTTATAATTTTTGTTGTTAATGCAAAATGGTACTGGGTTCTCAGAAGGGTCACTTTATCTGAATTTTCTCTTTCTTTGGGTATTAGATGTTAGAATTAACATGAAGAACTTTGTGCTGCTGAGATAATTGAATTGTAGGCCTGCTTGCTTCTAAAGGGATAGCCTCAGTCATTTCCCCATGCTTATCTGTGTATCTCCCTGGCTTCTGATACTGAATACAGATTCTTCAACTGCTGAAAACACAATTCCCATGGAAACTCATTATTTATTTCTCTTTAACATAAGATAGTAAATCAGATTGAACCAACAGGGCCTAGATCAGGACTTGCAAATGCAGATGCCTTCAGGGGCTGGGCATGTAACATAAATGAGTTGAGGGTGAGATGATGCGAGGGGGACTATGACTTTGGAGCATAGAAAGCCTCTCTCCGTCTAAAATTGGAAGCCTCTACTTAGCTTGGGAATTTGGAAACTTGAGTCCAGTATTATCTTCTGAGTTTTAAAGAGAAGGCAGAAATCTGAATTTTTTATGTTAAAGCTCATGATTTTTGAATGTTGGCAACAAGATCAACTTACATACACTTACTGCGAGGGCCAATAAAAACACGTGGCTGGATAGATTAGACACAACTTTGACTTAGGAATGTACATGGGGATAAGCTTTTATATTTTTATTAAGCAAGGACCTTCATGATCTGGCCCCTCCCCACCGTCCTAGCTTCTGTGTGCATTATATCCCTAAGTGTATCGTTGGTATGAACTGTGCTGATCTACTCACAGTTCATGCTAAGGCTTGGGGACTTCGCACATGTTCCCTTGACACTTGGTTAACGTTTACTTGTTCTTTAATATTCAGCTGAAGGATTAGATGTTCTGGAAAGCATTTTCTGATGCTCTTAGACCCCTTCTCTGTTACTCCCATATAACCCTGTACATGTCTCTAAACCTGGTACTTGTCATTTTAGCAAAATTGCTGACTTTCTTATCTGCCCACTGCACTGTGGGCTACCGGAGAA